TTTAAGTTCTTTTCAAGTACATTTTAATAACCATGAAAAACACAATGAAATTTCTTTCTGTGAATATTCCTTAATTAAAAATTTGGTATATTTGTTAACTCATGACTATCTCTTTCCCCCTTGCTCACGAGCTCGTAAACTGAAACTTCTGACTGGTGGTCTCATTTTAGGGGCATGTAAATATTTGTATGACCATTTAAAGTATTTCATTTTACACTTTCCACACATATTAGCTGAATTTTTGGAAATAATGTGAGTGAATCCAGAGCATAGCCAACTTGGCATCTCATGAGGATGACTGATTTTTCCCTTCTGAATTCAAGACCAAAATGTTTTACAAACCAATATTTTCCAAAATACAATGTCAATTAAAAATTCTCTGTTTTGAACTCATTTGCGCTAAACAATTTCATTAATTAATTTGTTGGCTTAAAATACTTTAGAAGCACATGAAAATAAAGGCTTTCGTGACTGCAGGAGGAAAAATAATATAAAATCTCAAATGAAGACATTAGCAACTGATGCCCTAGTTGTAAATACCTGGGCAGTCCCATAGCAGGTGTGGTGGGGCAGACGACTGGACACTAACAAAAAATTTTAAAGACAAACTTCAAGCAACAGAAATGATGTTCTGGTGAAGATGATGTAAACTTTCTCCGTTAGACAGAATAAGAAATAAAATGAGAGTACAAACAACCTTCAACGAGACAATCTAAATTAAACAACTGAAATGGTATGGACATATGATAAGGTTGAAAACAGATAGACTTCCACAAAAAGTTTGGGAATGCATACCAAATCGAAGCAGATACAGAGGAAGACCAAGAAGAACATGGGACATGGCAATAACTGAAGCCATGGAAAAATGGGAAACAACCTATGGGATAAAGAGACATGGAAATTAGGATGTGGAAAATGGCCAAGGTTTTAAAAAAACAACGCTAAATAGATAGAAATAGATGTATTTGGAACGAAAAAATTTTGATTACAAATATACACTTTATTTTGGATTAAAACTCATGTGAATGATAAAATTGTTGTCCCTTCTAAAACGCACCTTGCCCCGATAGAAATTGAATGCTGACTTCAGGCCTGAGTGTAGAAACCCAAAATTTTCTTTCCTTTGCATCCTTCTTTCACTCAAAAATTGTTCCCAATCTCATTTTTAGGTGAAGTCAGCATCACTAACTAATTCAGAGTTTACTTGTAAATGATAGTAGATTATGATAATTTCATTTTTATAAAATCAGTATTATAATGATTTTGCTGATACATAATTTATTTTTACTTATAAGTAATACATTGTAAATGAGAGAGGGTGTAGCAAGCATTATGTAATTATTTAGGGAGGATTCTAGCATGTATTACTGTGGGAGAGGGGGTATTCAAAATACTCCAAATTTTCATTACGCAATTTATGTATGTCCCATTTCCATAACTTTGAGGCAAGATATCAAAAAGATAAAGAATGGTAAATTGAAATCTGTAATTATTATATTTAATTAAGTATTTGAAAGGGAAAAATATACTGTAATTTGATATTAAATTTTTTAAAAGGAATTTTATAAATTTATTAATTACATTTATTAGTTGTTTTTGATTTAAGAAGAATAAAAGATGCCTTTAGGGTAACAAGAACAAAGTCGAATAATTTGATTGTATGTTCACCAAGGATGTATACAAGAGTTGCAGCAGAGTGAGGAAGATTATTAGAGAAATTTCAGGCTTGGTTTAAGATAAAAAAGTTAAAAAGATTAACATAAACATCATGATATCTTTAGTTATTAGAATTAACCATATCTCTTTGATTATTTTCTTAGAATTTATTTTGAACAATTTATTATTTATTGAAATGACAAAATGAAGCAATACATCATGTAGGACAAGCAAAAGTAAGGAATGGATGAGTATCCAATTTTGATATGTCATATCCAAATATAAAGTTTCCAATTTTGACTTGTATTAGGGAACCAGTGGCGTATCTATGATATGGCAGACATGTCACAGGCCGTAGGTGCTGTTCACGTGGAGTGCTATTTAGAGTACACCTGCTAAACAAATAACAACAACCTTAATTTGAAGTAACCCAACAGGCATGCAAATTCTATGCCTGCCATGGATGCCTGAATACCTAGATATGTCTCAATACTAGATATGTCTTAATACCTAAATAGGGATCAATTTAGAAATTTTTGAATATGCTTTATTAAGAATTACATAAATATATATAACAATTATAATCTCAATTTAATTTAATTAATTTAATTATATGCATCGATTGCTTGTATTTAGATATTGTTATAGTGTATTGAATGTGATTGTGCAGTGTGGTATATAAATTGTTACCTATATGTAAAAAGCCAATTGGCGTGAATAAGTAAATAAAATAAATAATGATTATAATAAATAAATAAATAAATATTCTTCCATTGGTCTAAGCCTTATTTCCATGAATACTTTTCATTAGAAATTTCTGTTTTGTGTAAGTGTTTCTGTTTTTGGTCATTAATGAAAGTGTAAAATTCGGCATTTGTTCATTTTTCAATTCATGTAGTTCAATTTTGTGAAAGGTTTTGCTTTAACTAATTACACTTGTATTCTGTACTTCAGATCACACCAAGCATTACCTGTAATTGTAAATAGGTGTTCAATCTAAGCCTTGCTTATGGGGATAGATGAAATCCCACCAAAAATTTTGGAAAGTTCTTTAAAACTGTCCCTCACAAATTTTTATCCCCATCATATTGGATGTTTCATCCTCAAAGGTTTTTGATAACATTGTATATCATATTACAGATTTTCATGAACATCAGCTTTCACTGCACTTGCAACTTATACAAGTTTGTCAAAAGAAATCTCTTCACCTCTGAACCAAAGTACTAGTTTTGAAAGCTGATGAACCACTAGTTTTGATGACTTGATGTGTCCTCTTTTATGTTTCATTTTCGTTAAGTTGGAAGAGTGATATAATATCATTACTATTTTCTGTGAATTACATGTTAATTTTTTAAATGATGAAATTCTGAAATGGTATAATAACACGAAGATAAGAGTAAATCGACAACCCAGTGAAATACTTCAAACCCGATGAGGTGGCAAGTAGTTTTTAGTTTACCCTGAAAAATATACCCTCCTCACCATTATTAATTGTTATTGGGAGTTTATTATGATTTGTCATAATCTTTGTTTTGTTAAAGTTTCATCTGAGTCCAACCTTCTGCTTTCTGAGTGTATTTCTTGGAGAATTTGATGTAATTCATTATGGGAGGTGGAAGATTGCAGTATCATCATGAAATCTGAGATTAGTTAAGTTCCTTTGGTTTAATGATATCCGATCGTTTTTATTCCAATTTAGTCGTCTGAAGACTTCTAATAGACTTGTAAAAAGTTTTGGCGAGAAGGGATCTCCAGTGGCTCCAGGAACGTGGAGTAAAGACATTTAAATGTAATAATTCCATTTATTCGATACTCGTAAGAATAATTATTACAAGAATCCGTTTATTATGAAATCACCACTCTGGCAAACGCAGAGAACTCAGTTTGGATAAATCAAGTAAGGGTATGTTGGCTCGCGTAGGCGATTTTGTTACTGTCAAAAATGATGCTGTTTCTGACAGAATAGAAAGCGGCTGAAACGGAGGTAGGCGCTGTAACTCGGCCCAAAGTGAGCATGCCGATGTTCTCCATAGGCTGTTTCCCGTATTTCGTTTGATGAGCTGTCAGTGTGAAATTCTTCTGAATTCTTCTTTGTTGAATGGACATGGAGACATTACGAGACGTTTACAGTTAAAAACTGTGTATTTTAGGACTAGTACTATGGAGAGAAAAGTATTCTGTGAACATTTTCTCAAATTAGAAGTACCCTAACCCATATACATGTTGAATTCTCATTACAAATGGAAATTAGCGGTTTTTCTTCGATTGGAAATTAGAAATTGGAGGAATTTTCTTAATGTGAAAACGTATGGTCAGCATTTAACATTATATGATCAGACAAAATATTTCGTGTTAAAATTAGCATATTTGGAGAACATTACATTACTTTAGAATGGTACAATTACTATTATATATTTGTCGATCTATTTGAATTTGTTTGTTAACGCTAACAGGGTTACTTTGTTGTTAAATGTATATTGTTTGTTTGCGAAACAAACCGTGCGACAATGGCATTACTCATCCCGAGTCTGCAGTTTAACTTTTAGAAATTACGTCTCATTGACAAGATATACTAGCTGTATGTTTTTTGCCGTACTGTTTTACGATTTGTAGTGAGTTTTACAAAAAATGATGACAGATTTGTTAATTCGGACAGAAATTGCTGTTTAACAATATTACGTAACGATTACTGAGGGCTGAGAAAGTATGTGCTGTTTAGCCCCACCAATTTTCTTAGGGTGAACGGATGGACGTGTTGGTGTTTTTTCTTTTACTGTGAAGGAAGATCCATAATGGATTAAATCATGTTATGCCGTATGATGAGTTTGTCTGTCCATTAAATACGTAAGTCCATCAAATTTATTCGGACGGTCAGTAGAAAACTTTTATTGAATTTGTACAGTTTTTCTAACGAAAATGAGTATAATATTTGACAGAAAGAATCTTGAAAATCAGACCTTTTTATGATGTGATAAGGTCTCATTGTAGCTGATTACCAAGAATGTGTGTACCATAGAGGAACAGCTGGCACCAGGGAGAAATTGTTGAAGGTGATAGCATTCCAGAAACAGTTCAGTTAAAATAATAATATAAATAACAAACCTACAAACCTATGTGGTTAAATTTTTTATAAGTACAGAAAATATTTTCTACCGCCGGCTTGCTTCTCTGCTTTTACAAATACCGCTATTTCGTATTCCTCCATGCCGTTATAAACTATTTTGTCTGAAATGCACTTTAGCTCCACCTATTAGGAAATAATATAACTACTTCTTTATGATGATAAATCTCGCCGTTAGGGTGCATGTCGATTGAGAATGCATACGATGTCCACTCATTCTCCATGTCATGTGTTTACGAAACGCGCCAAAAAGCGTTGAAACCAGGTTGAAACTCACTGAGAGTTCATGAAAGACCACTATTCTCTTCTGTCTAACCGTATGTCGAATACGTCTCCTACGATCTCTGGTCTGTCTCGTAAACCTGCAAGTGCTCGAGACTTAAGTGCGAACTGTTATACGTTTTCTTTGTTAACGTATCAGTGTAAAATTCCACAATACTGTTGAACATCTTTCGAAGAAAATGGGAATTTTCTCGGTGACTGCGTTGAAGTTTTTGTTCTAGGTTGTGTTGCTATTTATAATTGAATAATTTGCTTTTAATTCTTCTTTCCCGACGCTGTGATATATCACTAACGATAAGGTTATGGATGTAATTCTTGAAGCTTTAGAAAAAGTGGATGTAAACGATCCAGAATGGACAATTCCTGAAGAAGCATGTGCTGCATTTGATCAGTATCTGCTGGACTCCTTAAATCCGGAAAATGTTGCTTTTCACGATAGACCTCCTGCAGAAAATGATTTTAAAGATTCTGTGCCACGTATTGAAAGTAAGCTTCAGTTTGTTAAAAATTATTTGACAAAGCTCTTCTGTATAAAATCCGAAATGAAAAGCGAAGATTTAAAATTAAAGAAGAACACAGTTGTGTTGTTGTTAATGTTATGTGGAGAACATACAAGGAATAAACCATGGAGCTCTGAACATTGTCTGAAATATGCCGTAGACATTTTGCAGCTTACTTATCAACTTTGTGGTTGCTCAAAATTGCAAGATTTATTAGTGCATGATAAAATTGATGATAGTGTAAATAGGGATCCGCTGTTTAAACCTGTGTTACTGGCATTGAGGCCTAAGTTATTGAAAAACACTTGGAAGGCTTATCCTGCTGCAGTGTCATGCTTTTGTTGGATTCTACCTCATGTGAAGGTTAGTTTTATTTAAAATTAATCTTGTTTTCTGTATGTTGACAGTTAATATGAATTCGTTTAGTTCCCTTTTTTATTTTATTCTAACTATGATCATAAGAAAATTTCTTTTAAGAAATATTGAGAAGTTTAACCCTTAAGTAGTAACACGAATTTAATGCCATATAGGTAACACCTGTCTTTATGATTTTTTTTGTGTTATTTGCATATTATTCGATGTTTTTATAGAATTTACTTCTTATGTAACTATTAAAACATATTTTAATCAGCATTTTCATATTATAATTCTTTTAACATTGAAATTGAATTTTTAAAGCAGAGAAATCACAGGATTATTTGAAGCCAGGGTGAAATTCAGTTTCATGTTTTAGATTACTTTTTGTTAATCAGTATTATAAACGTGGTAGGCACATCAGTAATAACAATTTCTTCACACATTCCTTGCATGTTTTCGAACGCTATAGACAATTCAGCACTGGGCCAATAGCTGACTTTGATGAGAGACTTACTAGCTTATTCCCTTTTGGACATTTTCAACTGAACTAAGTAAAAAAAATCAAATATACATATCATAACTTGTTTTCTAAGGGAATGAAATTTTATTTAAAACACATGAGAAAACATCTGACTTCAAAAGTAGTTAGTATCCCAAAGGTAGTATGTAAAATATACTTAGTTTTATACAGTAGTATAGGTCTCTGAGGCCTTGACAAATTTAAAACAAGGAGTAAGGAAAATTACAGAACTGTGCTATCACATCAAAGAGTTCTCAAATGATGCATAGCTCTCCATTCGAAGTTACAACATGACCAGTATACTCATATTAATAAAAGAAAATAGTGGTAGAGCGTGTGAGGCCAGTGTTATCACTTAAGGGATAAATTAATAGTTAATGTATTTGTAGTGCAACCAGGATTTTTCTAGGGGTCTGTAGGTGTAGTGACCAATGGACTTTGTTTGTGTAGGCAGTTTTTTTTACATTTACTTACAATTCAGCATATTTGAATATTTTTTTATGCATAGTAATTTTTAATTTTCAATAGAGATTTTGAATGATGTTCTGTATTGTAGAATATATAGGTAAAACTATATGTGTGAATGTCATTTGCTTCTGAGAACTGAAAACAGAAAATTACAGCTGCATGGGCAGTAAAGCCCAATGTGCCCTCCCCCCCTCTTTCTTGGGCACACCAGTCAGCGTTAAGCTTTTAAGTTTTTATTTTGTTTTCTTTTGTAAATTTCTTAATATGTATGGTCTTCTTAGTGATCTTATTTGTTTTTTCATGAATAAAATACTACATTATTTAAAGAGTATATTAATGAGGCCATTCTCATGATTTGAATTTAAGTGTTTCTGAGGAGAAGAAATGTGTATGGAATTAAATTTAGGATAAATTTTAGATGACAAAATAATCACTGGATCATTTAATATGCATTTAGTAACTTTTCATAAAATAGGAAACTGGCTAATACCTTATTGTAAAACAAATTGTTTTTTGATTTCAGAGCCCTCATTTAAGTGATCATATGGATTCTGTTTTACCAACTGCTCTTATTTTGGTAGATGATTATGAATCAGAAAACAGACTTTTAGGAATAAAATGCCTTCACCATATTGTGGATAATGTGGTGAGATTTTTTTTTTTTTTTTCCCATATGAAATTAGATTATAATTGTATTTCTGTTGTCGTTGAATTCATCAGTAGTATTTAATGAATCAAAAAGAGCTGACATTTTTGGAGGGTAAGTGGATCATTGAAAAAAATGGTTTCTTTTCTTGTAATTTATACCTACACTTACAATATTTTTGTACACCGTTTCAAGTTGTATTAAAACTTTTAAGAAGTTAAATAATTAAAGACTGAATTCATTCAAATATCATGTCAAAGTAAGGGTTTTCTGGAAAATAGTGGTGAGCAGAGGAAGGAACTGATGAAACTTTATGAGTGTAGCAGGGCCCTTCTTTCAGGTGTTTTTTTCATGTAGTTACTTATTTAATGTAGAGGACTTTAATTATAGAAAAAAATATGAATTTTAAGCAAATTCCATCAACATTAATCCTAGTCTTTCTTCATTAAAATTAGAATACAATGGATGCCTTCGCTAGATTTATTTTCAAATCAATAGTTTTTGTCAAAACTTGACTTGCTCAAGGATGGAAACATTCTCATGCAATTGGTCATCTATAATTACAGTATTTGTGACATGTCATGCAATACTTGGTTTCCACCATAAAGTGTGTGAAATAATAAAAATCCATGTATCTAGTGAAAAATTCATAAAGGTTTATCTGTATTAGTATTATTGAAGAATTAATATTATTTTTTCAGTTTGAGTGGAGAAATTGATGTGCAATTGCCACTTGCTAGTCACTTTTTTTTGCATTAAGTTGTATTTTGATATTTAATTCGTCTTTTAAGAAATTATTTATACCATTGTTTCCTGAATGTTGCATATCTTTGTAATTGTTAAAATGTATAAGAAAGGAGGATTAGTGTACTATAATTGCATAAGCAAATACATGTGGTGACATTTTTTTTGTATCACATTGAACGTGAAGGTAAACAAACTTATTAGGTTTGACGATTTTGAGTGATCTATTTGGATTTTATTACATCTTTGTCTCATAAAAGAAAGTGTAAACATATCTGGAATTCAATGGGATCATTAAATTTTATTCTTTTTCTTTGATAATAGTTTTGAAATTTCTTATTTCTCCAGCCTCGAACGCAGTTGTGCTGGTATGGGCAAGCAGAAGTGGTGTATCAAGCACTGTTCCGGATGCTTTACTTCCGTGATGAACTGCTTGCTGCCCCTTTGCTGGATTGTCTGATTCTGGTTGTAGAGAAGATAGAAAGTGGTCCTGAGGCAAAGGATCGTGAACTGGAGGTAAATTTCATCATAGGAATCAAAAACTACTCTACAAATATGTTGTTTCATTAGAGTCAAGATTTATGATATTATATTTATTTATTTGTAATTTACAAGGTAGAAAAGGTAATATTTGAATATCTACTAATACTAGGCATGCACGTTTTTCCCTTCTTTCTTATGAATGTTTTTATTTGTTTTGGCAACAATGTAATAGTTTCACTAGGATTGGCACATTTAAAACAATGTTTTAAATAGTACATTGGCTTAAATATTTTAAAAGATGCTTAAAAAAATTTGCTCAGAAAACAGTTGCAAGATTCACAGCTTTCTCTGTCCCTCACATATTCATGACTTGACATGACACTAAGAACAAAATGGAAGGTAGGGAAAAGTTGTTCAGTTTCATCGGATGAAGGCAGTGGACCATGTAGCTGATGTGCTAGATTTCAAGTCGCAGAATTAATGTTTTTTCTATGGAGCCAAGCACTCATGTCCTTCAAGGTTATATGGTTAAGGAGAGGTCTTGAAAGGAGAGCCCTTTGCCTTGTGTTGTATTAAATCTGGCATTAAAACAGAATGGTTGGCTGCAGCATATTCCAAGATATAATTATGCTGCTCCTCGCTCAACCGTGCTCCTTGAAGTCAAGGATCCATCAGATAGGTCAACAAATGGACATCAGTTACAGCTGTGTTAAAATATTCCCTAATTCTTCAGAATTTTTCACATTTAGAAAAATCTCTTTAATCCCTTAAGACTTCAACTGCTTCAGCAATGGCACAATTGTCACCAGCTGCACTTTGTCTAGAGAGACTGAGATAACTAGAGGTCGGACATGTAGACACTATAAAAGTCGAAAAGAGGCAGGCAAATAGGCATTTAAAAACTTAAAAATAGCCAGGGCATTATAGTTGAAAATAGGCAGGCAAAGAGGAACTAAAAACATTTTAAAAAATACAGAGAAATAGGCATTACAGTTGATAATATGCTCAAAAACTCCTTGATAATTAAATTTAGATGTAATATGTACATTAAGAATGAATGCAATTCTCTAAAAACTAATTGGATTTCTTTGATTGCAAAAACATATTGCGGAGTTAGGTAATATTTCCTGAGAGTCTACTTGTGTGGAAATTTATATTTTGTCAAAAAATGATTACACTTGAAGTTGGATTTTAAAATTTTAAAATTGGAAAGTTCGTGGCAATCAGAGCATGGCACAAGTCAGTTTTTCTTGTCTTCATCTGGGGACTGCAATTGCTGAAGAAAGGGTTGAATAGGTTTGCTCACTTTTCCCGCATCTTTTGCATGAGTTGCAGTGTTTTATGTCGCAAGATACATTTTTGGCACAGTTTACCACTAATTCACTACAATGACAAAAAATTACATTTCCATCTGTTGTGAAACCTCCACAAATCCACTTTTTGATACTTTTGAAATCATAGTAAGCTTGCTTAATAGGAACAGCAAACTTTCTGATCTGCCAATTGGCAGACTTTGAAACTAATACAAAAATGATTATCGATGACAACTTCACCCATCTTGGGTAAATCTACTTCGAAAAGCTAAAGACGCCGGGAGCGCTAATCTTGAAGACAGTTGTGTTCTTGGTAAGGAACAGAAACTAGCTCACTAACGATAGCGAAGATTGGAAAGACAAGAGCAATTTCCTGTTCTCTGGAGTGCCCTTTTTTATTATAAACATTTTCAGGTTTTAAAGGTTCAGTTCACACTCAACATCTGTATAATACATGGCTTAATGTAAACTTAATGTCAATACCTTAATTCTAAAAAGCACATTTTTGGGGGAGGAATCCAGGTATCCTTCCTGTGGAGACCTCAGGAGAGTTACATTTTAGAAAACTTTGTAAGGAAGGTATAGAAGGAAAATTCATTTTTAATACCTGTAACATGCATGGGGATTTTGCCTAACAGGAGGGGACGTATTCTGGAGATATGAGGTAAGCTTTGGTAAAACTGTGTTGAGAGACTCTTGATGTAATTTTCAATAGTTTCGAGTTGGAATTCATTGTTGGTTGGAAGTAAATGATGGTGCATTTGTAATTGTATGGAAATGCCCTAATGAGCTTCGGTGAAATAGATAAGCTTATTCTGCACATGTCAAATTCTCATACGTTCCTCCTTGCCGCGTCACAAGCAAGAACACACAGATCATAGAGCTCGATCTAGGACGCCCTGATACATTTTATGGAGCTCTTACCAGTTTGGTAAAAAATTCCTGAGAGTGATTTCTCAAAAAAATATTCTAAATTACAAAATAATAAAAAGTGCAGAAAAATCGAAATCGGCACTAAGAAGTTCTCAAAACTTAAATAGGCAATTATCTCTAATAAATGCGTTTATAGGCACTATAGAATCCTCACAAAAACCATTTCTTAGGTAAACATGGATAGTAACAGTGGCGTCTCGTGATCAGTGAGCAGGAGGATGTGATCAGGTAGACGAATTATTATATCTAATCGGCATCTTACTATATGTTTATGTATTCCATATTAAGATGTACATAGCTATTGTACCGTCTTTGAGAATTTCTAATTTTCTGTTGCTTGCTCTGTCAGTAATAAATAAAATAATTCAAAGATGTACATCGGAACATTAAACTAATTGTTTAATGAGAGGTCGATTTGCCGCCATCTTCTACCGTACTCGAGAATTCAGTAGAATGTTTGAAACCTTTCAAAAGACATTGGAATTTTTCACTCACCGTTTCCTACCTCGTGTAACATATCCTTTTCTACAAACCACGTGCTTGCCATATTGCATCTTTTCACACGAAAATTATTGGCTTCTGATTATCGCCTTAGTTTCAAAAACTATGATTTTTCAATGTGTAAGATATGTAATTCTCTATAATGCAGTTTCAAGAAAAACTAAGCACTTTCGCAACAACCCATAGTAAGCGCGAAAAAACTGACAACAAAGGACTATCAGCCGCCTACGGTTATTTGTCAGTACTAACAACCCATATCCCCTATAATAGGATTTATTTAACCATGCACTTGACGTAAATACGCTGTTTACGGTTTCATCCAATTGAGAGCTTGAAAGTCCCCATAGTAACGACTTATAAGCTCCCGATTAGATGAAACAGCTGATTCGTCTAGTGCACGACTAAATAAATCGTCCTATAAATCACGAAGACAGGACAGTTGGCAAACATGAGCACGCATGCGTGTGTAGTGTGGTCAAGATGCCCCTTCCCCCTCTACCCGAAATGGAGTCGTTAGCACGTGGCCACTGTAGTTCTCAGTCCTACGATGGCAGTCCGGTGATGGTGTAATGGATAGCGTATCGGACTGTTGTACCCAAGCTGGCTGGTTCAAACTCAATCGGCGCCGTTGATTTTTAAGGGCGAAAAAATCCTTCGTACGCCTTCGGAGGGGAAGTAAAGCCATCTGTCCCATGTTAGAAGATTTACTTGCATGTAAAGATCCTAAAGCCGAAATGACGCCTCTGACGCTAAATTCAAATCGCCTGTTTCTGGGCTAAGAAATACCCCCTTTCTCCGCTAGTTGGTGAAAGGAGCGTACCGAAATTTGCGTGGTCAGACCAAAGAACGGGCCTGGTGGCCCGAGTCTCACCACGTAAAATAAAGTATCAATTCAATTCAATTCCTAATGAAAAAGAGGTGCTCAATGGCGAAGCTTTGCGAGGGGTGATACAGAGCGCCAATGAAAAGTCTGTTATGTGCCAGCCAGCCAGCGTCGCATCGCCGTCGCCAAGTGCAAACGATATAGATTATATTTCACGAGTAGAAAAACATTGTTAACAAAAGATTTTAAAAGGGCCGAAAAACTTTGATGCGACACATCACTTGCATCCATTGAGTCTACGTCACTGGGTAGTGGGGTAAATTGCCTGGAAATACATTCAAAGAAATAAAATATGCCAATAGGGACATTGTCCGAGCTCTAGAGATAACTTTGTTTTTTGAAATAGTTTCATGCATTCATTTTCAAATTAGCATTGCTCACTCATATACTTATGTTTTATAGTATACTATTTGGATTTTCAGTGTGAACTTTGCTAATATGCTAGTTGTCTTAAGACTTCATACAATCTGTTGGAAAATTCCAGTCAATAGCCTTCCTTCCAACATCTGTTGGAAGAGCAGTTTTCCATCTGCTTATTTATTCTTAGCTACTGTAATGTGAATGTTCAACTACTTAACAATATAAGTCTTTGTTAAGTTTGTTTCCCATTGTCTTGTTCTTAATCTGGAAGCTCTTTATTGTTGACTACCTCCAAATCATGTGCTAGTATGTAGAGATGAGCTGGGAAACCTTAAGTTACTACATTTTGGAAATTTGTTTTTGTGAACTTCCCACTCAGTTTTCTCATATTGACATCATTATCAGATAAAAAAAACCTCTTCACTTTACAGCTATATTGTTGATAATTAATTTTTCTGCCAGTAGTAACAGACATAAGTGTAGTTCGTCTAGTGCTACAAACAATTGTATCACTGTGCACTTTGCTTCAACCATCCAGTGCCATGCAAACGTTTACAGAGCTTCATTTTGTTTAGTCCATTGGGTTTCGAATTAAAGAAAGGGTTTCTGTGATTTGCAGGGAAATAATGCTGTTAAAAATGTAACTCAAGCGATGGATATATGATCAATTCTCCTCCTCCTTTTTTGTTCTTCCTACTACCTCTTACTTCCTGGCACTTACTTGGTAAAAGAGAAAGTATTGTAATGATGTGGGGATAGACTTCGTATTTTCTACCGAAAAATTTTATCGATGGGCCCTGGTAACGAAGGAGTTGATAAATCTTGGCGTGGTGTAGCCAGAATCCATGTTTTTCATTTGGGGGTCTTTTTTGCCTTGCTTTTTCTTTTCTTCAATAAAAATCTTCTATTTTAGATGGCTCAGGACATCATCTGAGGTCACTGCCGTCCCTCAGATCGGGAGGTCTTAGGTTCGATTCCCGACGGAGGCAGGGTTTTCGACACAAGCTTGTCAGCTAGGTCACTGTCTGGGAAATAATTCTAAACGCCGGCTGTTTTGATGGGTAGTTTTCCGTAGTTATCTGTTGGGAGCTAAGAGCTTGTCCCGACTGGGGCGATTCCCCGCGCTGGTGGGAGATACCTGATTAGGGAAAACCCCGCTAGCGGACGGTATGTCGGCGCCCGATCTCGCCATTGAGCGAGGGACGATCACCGCCACTTCTCGCTATAAACCATGTACTACACTTACAGTTCCTTAGCAGTTGCCCGGAATCACAATAAATCATTTCTCTTTTTCTTTTCTTCTCATATCATTTCTTCCCTTCTCTTCTCATTTATCTTCTTTGTCCTTTTCCTTTCCCTCATTCTCTTGTGCTCGTGTGGCTTAAGCGAGGGCCGTGTGCGTGTGTGTCAGTGGACGCGGCGCGACGACGTGGCGCAGCTGGTGCTGCAGCAGATGGAGGCGGAGCAGAAGCTGGCGCTGCGGGAGGCGTACGCGCGGGCGCTGCCGCCGCTGGCGCGCGCCCTGGGCCCCGCGCTGCCCCGCTGGGCGCGGCGCCTCGCCCGCGTGGCGCACCTCTACCTCGAGGCCGCGCCCTACGACCGCCCCGGCACCACCCTCGCCGTCCTGCAGGTGGGGACTGCGACGTCAAACCCTATTGTTCAAATGATGTTTGCCCACTCGACAGCTGGAGGTGGGGTGGAGCGACGTTGTCACTTACTCGGACTGCGGACACGTTCTTGCATCAGATCACAACAGCTGCGAGAAACAAATCGTAATAGGAGCACACAACAGTAGACACAGAACCGCGCACACGATGCACCACCAATGAAGTAAAGGCGCTCTTCAATTTTCAATTGATTCGCGCTGTCAGATTTCATTTTCTTCTGAATAAGTATGCAGTCTGCAGTGACATCATAATTTGAAGCCTCTGATTGGATAACGGAACCTCCTCTTCCGTCACCAGATATCTCTCAAGTAGGCTGAGATATGACAAATGTTGTCCCATCACCCCCATCCTCTAGCCTCGGCGTGCGTGAAGGCAATCCTGGTGTTGCAGCCGGCGTCGATAGCCGGATACCGTAACTGCGCTCCGTCAATTCATGGATGTTAAGCAAATTGAGACACCATGCATTCCTGGACGGGTGACCCCCTGGGAAAATCTGTTACTAACTGCGCCGAGCCTGTGGCCGAAGCGATAAAAGGCACTGACTAAAAACGAAATAGAAAAAATTACGCTCGGCAGACGAGTAAATCATTCTTCGCTCTCTCAGTATTTTTTAGACAATGGTATGCAAAAGCAATTCACTCAATTCATTCATTCAATATATTGAAAACTAGTGGAAATGACGGATTACAACTCGAAGTGAGCTGGTTTTAATTTTTATTTGCACACATAATAAAACTTAAAATTCCACTGATACTCATTGATGTTCAAACATGGAGACTCCAGCCTAAAAATCTTTTCTACGCCCCTCGAATTGCCAATGTTTGACGTTTAGACACACGAGTTCTCTATTTGTGTCTAGTTCGAAAAGTAAATCCCAGAGTTAATGGTATTTCAGGACGATGGTAAACCGTACTCGTGTTTCTGAGTGTCGTGAAGTCAGAGAACCCATTGTTGACTGATCTGTTTTTTATGCTTTTTACGAGGTTTCAACTCAAGGGTGTCTGAAAATTTAACCGGTAAATTTGTTAGGTCGTAATATACCACATGCATGATACAAAAAATTAACGGATTTCCTAGGCAGATACAACTTTGCATATCCATATATTGATTGTAGTGTCGAAATAAATTGGAAGAAAGCAAACTTTATTTCATAAAAGAGTTAACATTTAGACATTTTCTTCCGGTACGTCCGGATGAAATAATAGAAGACATATTTGTTACCTTGCATTTATTAAGAGAGTCGGCTTTCGATGGCTTTGTCATGTCCCGCTGTATGTGGAGAAGCCGGCAGGGTAGGCAGAGGCGTATCTAGGTATTCAGGGGCGCATGGCAAGCATAGAATTTGTGCCCCTGAGAGGTCACTTCATTCAAATGAGGGTTTTTGTTATTTGTTTGAGCAAAGGTACTCTAAAGGGCGCCTACTGAGAGGCGCCCATGGTTCACGCCAAGTCTGTCATACCGTAGATACGCTTCTGACGAGAGTGTACGCGCTAATGATCTCCACATTTGCCTGAAATAGCGAGGATTGTCTGCAGGCGGTGGAGGCGCTGGTGGCGCAGGGCGGGGAGTCGCCGTGCGCCGAGACGCACGCGCCGACCCTGGCGGCGGCGCTGCTGCGGCTGCTGGCGGACGCGACGGGCGCCGGACGCCGCCCCCGCCGCCGCGCCCCGCACCTCGCGCCGCCCGCCCCCCGGCCGCCGCCCCCTGCGCGCGCTGCTCGCGCCGCCCGCGCCCTCGCGCAAGCCCTCCGCCCGGCCCCGGCCCCCGCGCCGCCCGCGCTCGCCGCACTGCTCCACGACCTGCTGGCGCCGTTCGCGGACCAAGACGAGGTGGCGGCGTAGCAGGTACTTCAAGCCTTCTTTCACGAGTCCAGGGCTCTTGCGGGCAAATGCTTTATGATATCTGGCAGATTGGGCTTGATTGATGGCTGACGGATTGTGATTGATTGATGGCTGACGGATTGTGATTGATTGATGGCTGACGGATTGTGATTGATTGATTGTTGGCTGACGGATTGTGATTGATTGATTGTTGGCTGACGGATTGTGCTTGATTGATTGATGACTGACGGATTGTGCTTGATTGATTGATGACTGACGGATTGTGCTTGATCGATTGATGACTGACGGATTGTGCTTGATCGATTGATGACCGACGGATTGTGCTTGATTGATGTCTGGCTGATTGCCTGACCGACCGACTTATTTGGTAGGGAAAACACCATAAAATGTACCTTTCCATTCATATCTCAACATTGATTTTTAACATCATTACACAACTGTTAAGTGGGAATGGACAAAGTGCAATGACAATTTCTATTTAATTACTTGAATATACTTTCTTTAATTTGAAAAACATGGAACTATTTTTTTAAATAAATGATAATGGTGATGTATCGAACTTGGTCTTGTTACTGACATATTGTCTTCCATTTCTACTTTCTCTCCTTTAGTTCGTAAAAAAGTAGGCGGGACCCTAGCAACAAAAAACTGGATGGATTTTATTCCTATATATAGTAAATTACTCTCTCTAACACGTTGTGTAGTCGTAATTCACATATATGCGTCCTTAAAACCATTAAATCATTTGCCCAGGAAATGTCGGTCTGCCTGTGCTCAACGCTAGTGCACACTAGCAACGCTAGTAGTGAAAGGTGAAATAAGGGACTGAGTGAAAGTTCAGTTTTTTTGTTTGTTGATCAACTAGAATCAAATTTACACATAAGCTTCCAACATAAGCTTAGAATAAGATTTGTTTTTTCTCTTTAGGATAATATTAAGCATTTTCTTACTGCAAGAGCAACAATGCTGCTTGGTTGAAAAGATGTTTAGAGCATCCTAGAGTATGTTTTCTCTCTTCTGTAAAATGAGTTGTTTTGATCCAAATCCCCTTCATCACCCATTGTAGAATTTAAGTAAGTTTGTTCTGTTTTCTTTGATAAGGGGGCAAATAGTTGGCTTGTCATGGGTGCCAATGTACCTAGATGTTTTAAAATTAAATTTAATGGACAAATCCCTTTAAAGTTGAAATTAAAAATACAATTGCATTATATTGTGTTATCTGATACAGACTAAAGTGACCAAATTTCATCATGCTTGTCAGATGTGCCTCAGTGTGACCACATCGCCACTCATTGCTCTGCCATGTGCTCAATACATCAGAAATACCAGTTTATAGAGAGTAATTTTAGGAAAAGTGGTAATGATTTTAAATGATTGTTGATTTTTATGATAGAAAACTTATGAAAATGAAATAGTGCAACAAACTTCTGCATTTTGTGTGTGTGTTTTATTTATGGCTTATTAGACTATTTTGTTTCATTTGTGAAGTAATTTAATTTAAATAATTCGCCAGAAATGTGATAATTTTATAAAAGTTCGTAACATTGTGTGTAGATGTGATTTGTGCAAGAACAATTCAGCAGCCTTTCACTGTTATCTTTTATTCTGTATTAGTATTTCTGGGGCTAAATATGGCACATATATTGCGGCTATTATAATAAAATATTTATTTTTTAGATGTTGCTGTTGTTTTGGAACGTCAGATCAAGGAGGATGCGTGTGAAGGGATACATCAAATAAGAAGGTAAAATTTTCTGTTTTGTTTCTCTAAATGATTTCTAATCTCATTAAACTTATGTGATTTTACAAACTTGATTCTGTATTTATATTTACAAATTTTGATGCAATGTTACAATGTTTTGTGCCATCAGGCATATAACACATTTGTGAATTTTTTTATTATTACTAAAATTAGTTTCTTTTATTAGTGTTTTATTATTGTTGTGCACATGTCAATTTATGGAGAGGGGGAGATAAAGGTATGAATAATAAATTCACATTTGAAAAAAGAAATGTCAGTGTTTAGAATCGTTTTTTTCCCCCCAGTTTGTTGAATTTACTCTGGAAATAACTACAGGAAGATGTAACGAAATTTTTACCCATTACTGGAAACTGGACATCATCAATAGCTGCTCAGACAGGATCTGGTCTTCTTTCATCAAAAAGGTTTCGTAAGCATTAAATGCTTTTATGGATTGGTTGGAGGTGGTGTAATTAATGTAGAAGTGTAGCAGAGTAGAAATGTGAGATGGTATTTCAACTTCTGTGTTCTCAAATATTGTAATATTTGTTGTTAAATATTGGTACAGACAAATATTTTATACGTTATTGTGTTTAATTGGGGATTATTTTATAATCTTATGAATTAAAACCTTTTTTTATACATTTTGAGTGTAGTTACAACTCCAAAGCTTCATTATTGTAGCAGTTTTAAATATTTGATTATTTTTTGAAGTTTTAAGTGAAAGTTAAAAAAAAATCGGTTTTGCCATTTGTTCTTAGAACAAAATACAAATAGTTTGAATTTGAGTGTCCTCATTTGATAAATACCAGCGGTGGTGAAGATATATCTTATCATCTGGGTATTTATCAAAGCCGTCTGTATGAACTTCATTTTAACCATGTGCATATCATCTTTAATTATAACTGATTGTCTGCCAAGTGGTATAGGTGCTAGATTATAATTTGTGTGACTTCAATGATCTGAAAGACCTTCGGGGCATCAAAAATCTGCATTCCCTTAACCAGTTATCTTCTACAAAGAAAAGTCATTTGTAATAGAAATTCCTCTTTTTTCTTATTATTGGATGCGTTTGTAATTGTAGATGTAGAATAATTTTCCCTGCCGTTACACAGAAGCGTTAGATGGGATTTAAGTTTTAATTAGCAGTGTTGTAACAGCTGTAATGTCACCAAAGCCTTCCTGATTGCCAATGAGAGAGACTCATAGGCCAAGAGCCTTCCTTCCCCATCCGTGTCGTTGAGTACCGTGACTTTAGTAGTCGTGTTAGGTGTTTGTGTTGTGTAGCTGTGTGCTGATACATTAGTGTGGCAATGGCCAACCACATTGAGAAAAGAGGAAGTATAGAACTTACCAGAAATGTGGAATGATATAAAAGTTAAGACGCAAACTTTAAATTGCGAGTAATTCATCTCTCTTAACAAGCAAACAATAGTAAAGCTACACGGCATTGGAAAGATACAAAGGAATGCCTGAAATCTTGTAATTCCACAAGGAAATGTTTCTGTGGACCACAATTGGGCGCCATCCTGAAATCGACGAAGAAGTTGTCGAATTCGTAATAAATCGTAACAAGGGTTTCGGATTTTCTATAAACAGCATTCGCATGAAAACATTAGAGGTAGCAAGAACGAGAAACATTTCCAGACAGGAATTCAATGCAAGTGTCGGCTAGTGCATACGGTTTATGAGAAGGACAGTGTTCAGTCTGCATAGAACAACTTCCCTATCGCAAAATCTGCCTGCAGATTATGAAGGAAAACTTCTGGAGTACCAAAACTACATAATACTATTGTGTCATCAATACAACCATTCGATGAGTCAAATGGGATGCTGATGAGACCCCTGTGTACTTCGACATGCCTTCTAAAAATACAGTAGCTACAAAAGGGTGTAAATTCAGTTATGATAAAAACATCTAGAAACAAAAAATGCATGTTATGGTCATGCTGGGAGTGTTGGCAGATGGCTACCACTTGTTATCTTAAAAAGGAAGAATTTGCCCGAAGAAAAACTACCAAGTGGAATAATTTTAAATGCAATGAATCTGGGTGGATGACTAAAAGCTTGATGATTTCTTGTCTTCAAGAAGTTACCGGGAGCCCTGTTACAGCAGAGAGGATTGTTAACCCTTGATACCTTTAGGGACCACCTTACAGAAGTGAAAAAGAAAGTTGCTAATTTAAAAACAGATTTAGTAATGATACCAGGAGGCATGACCTCATAGTTGCAAGTTCTTGATGTGACGAATCTGTGATGTGATGAATCTTTCAAGCACAGCAGTTTTTGAAACCTTTTATTATGCATTGAGTTGATATAGTATTCCATGCAGTTAGAATCCCCTGATAGAGCTGTCCAACTGAATTTTTTTTGATGTCAGGAGTTAATGGGCAATTTCCTGATAAGTCACTTTTCATATTGGCATCTTGAGTTGGTTTTAAGGTGTGAAAATCTCTCTTTCGCACCTTAAAAATTAGTTTTCTCACATAATTGTGGGAATAATATATAAATAATTTATGCTAACCCGTCCTTCTGTTCGTCACTTACCACCTTGAACGGCGGCACCGTTGAGTAGTAGCGGGTTATCAAGATTTGCTTGTGAAGCGAGCTTAAAATTCTCGGGACGCAGGATATTTGGGTGCGAGAAAGGTCTGAACCCTCGACCAAAAAAAAAAAAACAAAAAAAAACAAACAAAGATTGTGCACAAACGAGCGTATAATTTAATCAGTTAAACAGGGTTTAATTGATTTTAACCCACTTCGTCTTTACAACACACAAATGAATAAACACATAATTTACACCAAAAATTGAGATTCTGAAATGATTGCCCTAATCTCCACCGGGAATTCCCTTGGAAAACTAAATATATCTAAATCTATGCTATTCTTTTTACATTGCACACTAAACCAAAATTTTCAATTTACAATCTCCTGCTTCAAAATATCACATGCAAAGAAAAAGAATGTGTGCAAGTGCACCACTCTCATCTACACCTTAACTGTGTCTGAAAATAACAGAATAACAAATGTCCTATGTAAAATATTTTATGCAGGCAATAGTGCATCAAAATGTCTTCTACTATGATACTGCAATTTGTTGCCACCCGTGTCCTCAATTTTTAACACTTTCCTATACTAATTTTTCCCTGCCGACGTGAACTTGACCTATTTCTCGCGCCCTAACCGTTACCTCGGGACTTCCCATCTTTGGCGCAATTGAGCGCGACGTCGCTCGGTCTCAGCTTCTGCGTCGAAAGAGAGGGATTCGCCTCTGCCGTCTACGTTTGTCTTCTTGCATTCCTCTTCGTTCTTCTTCCTAGCCGTTCCGTCTTCTTCTCGTGCGCCTGGTCCTCGCCTCTTCTTCCTCCTCGTCTGCTACCGCGCCACTGACCCGCCAGTTGCGAAAATGTCCCTGTGCACTTCACGAAGAATACTCGTGCAAGTCCTCGCTCGTTGTACTTACTCTACTTCGCTAAACCAGAGCTTTCAATGTTTCTGCTCACAACGGATAACTTTTACTTCCGTGTCGTTAATTGAAGGAATCTTTACTGACATCTGCCACTATCTCGCGGATGACTACCTAGAACGTCTGTTCGACGCCGAATACTTCCTACTCCTAGTAGTCGTGCAGGCGCGAACAATATCTGGCTAATGTTAACGCAACAGATGCTCGTGCGAGCGTGGCAAAAGAGAAAGACTGCTTACTCGGCGAGTGGTGCAGGAGAGAGAGCTCCCGCTTGCGGATCGCGTATATATCGCCCGACGCTGGGGAAATTTGCAGTGGTGGGGTTGCTTCCCCTCTCTCAACCTCCCACGAGGAAAACGTTGCTCGCTAGTTCGCCACCGTTTAGTACGGCAACGGATACCAGGCCCGCGTTAAGAGCCTCTGCTTCGCCGCACCTGCTGTCACCGCTGCCTGTGGGATGCACAATCCCATGATGTAACAACTGTCAATATAATATGTTTATATATAATATATATATTATATAATATATATATATATATATATATATATATATATATATATAATATATATATATATATTTATAACAGGCAAACGCCAAAAAAAAACATATAATAAAGGTTTTATGAATCAATTATACAATAATAGTATGGTACAGATATAAGATAAATGTGTAGCATACAAATTGTATCAAAAACAATAGGTTGATATAATACACTAATTGTAATCAAATAATATACAATTTTTTGCTAGAGTTTTAAAGTTATTGATAGGTAACGATGTATCAATGTTATATTTACTTACAGTTCCATGGTAGTGTAGCAAACACGATACATCATAATATTTCTCACAATCACGGCTCTGATTTCAATATGCAGCTCAGGGCAATCGTGCACCGTTTAGCAAAGTTTCACCGCAGCTGTTGTTGTTGATTATTATTCGCAGACCAACGTCTATGGTGATTGCAATGAATATTCTTCGCCAGCTTATCTTTCGAACACGATGAAGTTGTGAATTATCTGTCCTAGAGTAAAGCTAAAAAATTGCAACTGCTTGCTCATCATTTTTAAATGGCCCTGCACTCGTTATCACTATTTCATACTCTCCAGTAAGTCATATGTATTTCACATTGTTTCACACAGCTGAGTGAATTCTCACCATGAACTCTGATACAGACAGCGACACTTCCGCACTCGACCACTGCTGGAAGGAGACTTTTTGATAAATTAAATATGCACTTTTGGAAATAATACATTTTTTGAGGTTATGGTTTAGTTCAGGATGAAATAGATTGATTTATTTATCCATCAAACAGGCAATCGCCTAATATACATTACATTCAATATTTACTTAATATAAGTTAATTGTATTCACATACATATTTTTTCCTTGCTAAGTCTGAACAATTTGATAGTGATGTAAAAAATATATCTATATCACATGTGTTTACTAGTCTACTCATGCGCCATATAGGTGCATTATGTTCCAGATTTGATCTTGCAATTGGTATATAAAACGTTTTATCGTTATTTCTCGTATTTTGCATAGGTAGATTAAAATTCAGTTTGGATAACTGTGCAGTACAATCAATATCATTATTTATCAATTTATACAGAAATATAAAATCATTGAATTTTCTATGAGAATGCAGTGAGCTAATGTTCAATAAGCTCGCAACATAAAAATAATTATGTGTGAACCTCGGTGATGGAAGTTGAAGTTTCCAAGCAATATAGTTAAAGAACCTATGTTGAGTTGATTCAATTTTT